GCTGGGGAATGCCCTATAAGAGAGAGATCTTCCCATTCGCAAGCTGCCCAATCAAAGTTGCAATCCCTTCGCTTTCCTGAACTGCAGTGAGAATCGCTCTCAATTCAGCCTCACACGAGCTGAGGGACACACACCCTTGCACTCTCGAAATCCCTTTCATCAGACAACCACGGTAAAAGATGGCAATCCCTGACACCGACTTCCTACCCAAAGATGCTTGTGGTGCCCAGCTGGCGTCAGCATAGATATCAATCCTTGATGGTCCTGCGTCTGGGACCTCACTCCCAGGCCCATACTACTGCCAACAAAGATATTGCCCTTTCAAGAAACGAACCACTTGCCTCAAAGCATGCTCAGAACAAGCTGTAGGCTTCGACTGGCCTTGGGATAAAATGGACATCCAACGAGCCATCCGGACGAGACTGACCCCACCAAGCAATCCTTCCAAGAACCGCTCGGTCAGGAACATGCCCGTGGTGTCTTTTTGAACCGTGAGAAAGGTATTCGAGGGTCTGGCCGCACGTGAGAGCCCAAGCTCTGCTCTGCGTTCGAGTTCAATGCCAGTTCCTGTTGTGGTTCCCTGTGCAACCAACGGTTCTGCTGGACCCGGCAATGTTAAACACTTGTGTGTCCTGAGCTCGTGTGGAGGTCTTTGAAGAAGGATGTGTGATCTGACCGCGCAGAAGGTAGCGTTTATCCTTTGTGAGGATAGCGGTGGGCGTCCGGACCTTCTTTGAAACACAGGGCTGCAAGCCAGCTTAACTGCACTTGGAGTGCGGATAGCACTCTTTTTTTACGTAGAGTTAGTTCCCAGTTTTTCCTCCTTTTGCCTGGAGTTGGCAGGTGAAGGGGTAGTTTTCCAAGCCCGTAGGGACGTTTCTTGGAGTTTGGTAGTTCCTGAGGAGGCTTCCGCTCTCAGGGAAGTGTTTAGGAACCCAAGCCACCTGCTAGTCGTTTTCACTCCTAGCAGTTGCAGCGTTGTGCCTTATTTTGGCTCAAGACCGGACTTGCGTGTCGCGTGAGTAAAACGAAGGCTCTGTCCGAGCGTTGTGAACAGCAGTGCTTTGCCAAGGGTTTTGTTGAACTCCGGACTGTCGTTCGGTCTTTTTCGTCTTTCTTCTTTTTTCGCATCAGGGAAGAAACTTTTCTTTGGAGCCCGCTGTTGTCATGGTGAATAAGGCTTCGGATACAATGTTGCTGGCTTCACTTCTTCGTCTTTTGTCTTTTGCTCTCTTTAGCAAGTCAGCTATAAAACATTTTTTTCTTCTTTCTTGCGCTTATGTTCAACTCGGTATTCTTGATCTGCTTAATAGCAAGTCGCTCTTGTCTTGGCGTTCTTGAGAACTGAGAGGCACTTGCAGGGCCACGGATTTTGCATTGGTTTTACGACTCGCAAAGTAGGGCCGCAGAACCAGGTGTTTTGCCAGCGCATGCTGCTGTACACACTGTTTCAACCTCCCCACCTTGTGCCTTAAACCTGACACGCGAGTCTCTAGGGCTTTGAGGCTTCTGCAGTTTCTTTGAAGGGCTTTGAGACTTTACCGATCCTACAATTTTCATCCTGTAGGCAATTCGTGCGTTTTAATCGTGGTCGATGCAATGCCAAACTGCCGTGAAGATTGCGCGAAAATCCTGGGAAATGCCCACCAAAACTTCGTCCATGTTTCCAGTGCGACGACGCAGGAAGGAGACCATTAGAATCCAATGTGCAGTGCCCACGAAACAGATGTTCCTGCAAATACGTTCTATGGGTTGTCGCCACCCCGCACCCCCTAGAATTCTAGCGCCATAAACTCCATGGTGCAAGCCGTGGAGTCCCAGGCGTCCTGTTTCAAACTAGTATTATATGGCTGAAACGGTTCCAGACTCCGCCAAAAATATAAGAGCACCTGCATTTTCGAGGTGTCGTCATTCTGAAAACGGCAGCATTTGGCTTGGACTTGTCCTGTTGTTTTGCTGTAGTTTGTCCTTGAGTCGTCATGCCAGACCGTGTGGTCCAGGAAGCAAAGCGCGCTTTCGTCACAGTGCTTTTGTACTTGTGTCAGCAAATTACATGAAAGTGTAGCGTGTAATACCTTTTCCGGTGCAACAATAACTCTTAGTTAATGACTCTAATAGAACAGCAGCATGCACTGACAAAACACGTGGTTCCGCGGTCCTACTTTGCGAGTCGTAAAACCAATGCGAAATCGGTAGCCCTGCAAGTGCCCCCCAGAAGCGCGGCAAAGACCTCACTCGGCTTGCAGCCGAGCAGTGTCGTTGAGAAGACTAAACCTGCAGCTGACTTTGAAGGCCTTTCCAGCACTTGGCAAAAATTTGGACAATTTCCGGACCCAAAAGCGGGTCTGTGGAAAGGTTTCTAGTTCCCATGCTTCCACCTCTCGTGCGCAAGTGTTCCGCGCCCAGTGCAAGATTAGGTAGCACAGACGCACGCAACCAACATACAAGAA